CCTCCGCGGGGGCGTTGGGCTCGCGGGGGCGGGCCTGGCCGCGGCGGAGAGTCTTTTCTGCTCCGCCGCCCCGTGGGAAACGCTTCTCCCGTGCGAGAAACTTTTCTCGCTGCCCCGGACGAGCGTCCGTAGCGGGGGCGCCTGGTGACGGGGGCTGGGCTGAGCGGCGTGCGGCAGCGGAGTTTGAAAAAGGAGGCCAAGGTGGAAGAGGAAAATACGGTCAAAGAACGCAGGCCAGGAGCATTAAGGCCGTCGTAGTTGTTAACGATAACGTTTTTCACCTAATAAGTAGCGCAGATAGTGACTTAGGTCGTGTAAAATGAAGCCAAATTGTATTTCTGTGGGCTAAAGCATGAGTAAAACTAACATGCTGTAACCTTCAAAACTTTATGACATCGGTGGATTTAGTAAGGTTTTGCAAGAAAATAACTTCTCTTAAATCTGCTTAAACAGGTACATGTCATCTAAAACGTTTCTTCAGAATGAGGCTGACAATTTCCATTTAAAGGGAAAAGAACTTTAAATTACTAATGCTCAGTTTACCAACGTGTATAGTTTAAGCAGAAATGTCAGCATTCCTGTCCACAGCAAGATCCATTAAATTATTTATGAAAAAAATGACGTATGTTTCTAAATCAGGTGTCCATACTGTATTATCTTAGTTTTTCAGTTAGCTCGTTCATTTTCAGGTTTTAAGGTTTGGTTGTGTAATCTGTGTTACAAAGGAAATTGTATAATTTGGTTGCTTTTCATGATAAGGAACTATGATCCAGGAGGTTCTTGCAATCTGTAGCTCGATTGCTTCTTGATAAGGAATACACAAAACGTTCTGTGGAAGGTGACAAATAATACAAAGATTTGGTCTGTTTTCAGGATTGGCACTGCTGCCTTGGCAGTTCAGGTGGTTGGTAGCAACTGGCCCAAGCCACATTACACGTTGCTGGTTACGGGCCTCTGCCGATTCCAGATCCTGCAGTTGCTGAAAGAGAAGCCGTATCCTGTTGCTGAAGTTGAACAGTTAGATCGACTCGAGCAGTTTACTAATCAGCATAAATCTGAGGAGGAACTTGGAGAGCTGTCAGAACAGTTCTACAAGTATGCGGTGCAGGTAAATTGTTTTAATCCTGTGTATCACGCATTGATTTATTTTTGTGTATATTTGAGAGTTTTTGTTTCCTGTCTGCCCTTCTTGTTCTATAGTTCTTATGTTTTTCAGTGGCTAGTAATGTTTCAGTATTTCTGCTACAAAATAAATATTTCTGTTAGTTATACCTTAAGGTTTCTCTGTCAAGTTCCCGGGTGTCTATACAGCTCATTGCAGGATGAGTCTGACTGTGTATGTTGGTGCTATGGTGTTGGTATTATTTCAATAATTTCATAATATTATAGCAATACTATAAATACACTCTAGTAAAAGAATTATATTGAAGGGAATTAAACCCCTCTAGAGCTTTGATTATAAACAGATGTTCCCAAATACCATGAATTTGAATTTAAAGAATGTATAGAAAAAGAGTCATCGTAGTGTTAAGATAACTGGGAAAGTTTTTAATCAGGGTGTGTGTGGGAAATAAGACATGTAGGCATTGAAAAAAGTGCTGCAAACGATGATGATATTTTTGAAGTTCTCAACCAAGCAGAGTCTTGATTGCCCTATGCTGAGTTAGTGCCTCTTCTGTGAACTTTCTTTTTGTTTATTGTTTTGGCAAAGTACCTGGAGATATTTCATACTGCAAGACGCAATCCTTTTTAGGTTAGATACTCACTTAAATAATTTAAAAAGAGACATAGTAACCATGAATGTTGTTCATTGCGTGTTCCTTACAGTTGGTTGAGATGCTGGATATGTCCGTTCCTGCAGTCGCAAAGCTGAGACGTCTTTTGGACAACCTGCCTAGAGAAGCTTTGCCAGATATACTGACTTCTATCATCCGTACATCCAACCAAGAGAAGCTTCAGGTATTATGTTCTTAAACTTTTATAAGAGTTAGGTGTTTGTTATTTTTTTTACAGTTAATCACTTTTAGATAATCTTGAAATTGCTTACACTTGAGACTGTACAGTGATAATGTTGTGCCAGAAGGTATTCGTGTTACAACTGAGCATGAATACTTGTAAAAAGTTTTTATGCTGTTGTTTAAAGTGTTTATAGATCTGTATGTCAGAACTCACCTCATAGGTAAATTAATCTAGTTAGCGTTGGAAATGGTTCATTTTGTTAAACAATAAATACAACGTGGACTTCCCCTTCCTGTGGCAAAGATGATAAATCTTTCTTCAAATTGTGTTGAAATCTTGCTTACTTATCACAGTTGACAGATCGTTATACATCTCTTAATACCAGCTCCAGAACTGTTTTTTTTTTTTTAATCTTTTTAAAAACTATCTGGAAGTGTGGGGGTTTTTAAATACTGAGACACTGGTTAAACTTGCATAATATGTCAAAATAACTATGCAAAAACAGTGCTTATGGCTTTATGCTTACTAGTCTGACTTCTATATGTACTTGCTGTGTTTGGAAATTTTGTTTTTCCTTTTCTTTTGATGCTGCCAATGCTGTGTGTTCAACCTTGAATTGAAACCATAAATTGGGTTATTTCAAAGCACAGCAAATAGAAATTAATGCAGTAATTTGAAGTGAAGGTATGTACTGTAGTTGAATATCCTGCTGCAGGAAGGTACATGAGTTGTTAAATTTACCTTGTCCTTTTTTTTTTTTAATTATTATTAGAAGTGCTAAAGAAAAGAACAGGCAGCAGAAGCTGTGGAAATACAGGAGAGCCCAATTCTACCCATTTCCACACTTCATTAAACATGAAAATGGGATAGTGTATAAAATTTTAAAAAGACAAAAAAAACCAACCCAAAACAAGAAAAACGTAAGGCATAAGGTGATTTTTTTTCTTGGTTAACCAAGGAGATCATGCTGTAACTTTCTTAGAGGGCTAGCTCTTTCCTGAAGCTCAGTAATTGAAAAATAGAACGCCAATAGCTGTTTGCCACAGAAAATGCAACTGAAATATTAAGATGCTTTAAAACCAGACAGGATAAATTACTTTTTTTCTGTTTTGGAGTGCTTTTTAGTTTTGTCATCCAGACCCTTAAGGCTAGATTTTGTGTGCTGTATTATTGTATTTCTTGCTACCTTTTTTCCTGAACCATCTATTCTATAACTCTGGTCAAAGGACAGTAACAGTACCCTCCCTGTTCCCCTCCCCTAAACGGGTGATCCATCAGCGTGAACTTGTTGGTTACTTATAACTCCTTGCTCTTAGATTTTAGATGCTGTTAGGCTGGAAGAACGGTTCAAGATGACTATACCATTGCTTGTTAGACAGATTGAAGGCCTGAAGCTGCTTCAGAAAACAAGAAAGCCCAAACAGGATGATGATAAAAGGGTATGGACCTTTAAACATGGGACACTTAAACATCCTAAATAAGTATAAAGATGCACTTTTAAACAGGCTAATGAACATGCACAATTTTAATCTGTGCAGAGTTTTAATCTATAGCCATAATGTTTCATGGTCAGTCTGGAGCTGCAGAGAATATCCAGCTGGCAACTTTGGCTGTTTAGATACCTAAAAGAGAAAATAGTCTTTTAAAACTGCCTAGGGCTATTTATGAATTAAATTATTTATTTTAATCTGAGCAATTTCTGATGTTGACTAAATGCTGAGGTTCCTTTAAAGAGCCATGTGATGCCCGGTTTACTTGCATGGTGTGCACACACTGAGTTTGGGCCTGTGCAATGAAAGGTGTGCCTTTTACTAATGGCGTTGCAGGTCGATGGTAGCTTTTGAAATACAGATAAAGAAGACGTTGTAAAATGTAGCTTGCTGAACTAGGGCAGCTTAGACTTTTGCTTCATCTAACTATACTTATGCATTTTATGAAGCAGAAAGTAACTGAGAAATGAAAAAAGGTAGGAGAAGATTTATCTGTTTTGTAAAGATTAGGCTTGTTCTGCTTTATATGATGGGCTACAGTGCCCCAAAAATCACAAATTACTCTTTTCAGTTTTGTTCTTGTCCTCTGTTGTCTGCTACTTTAGGGTTAATGATAAAGGCACTTAGGAAATACATACAGTAAAATAAGAACTTTAACTTTTTAAAGTAATACTAATAACGCTTCGTGAAGTTATTTATTGAATTAAAATCTTATGAATTTTTCTATGAAGGAGGTGCTCCTAGCACCTTGCATGTTTTTGTCATGGGTTCCATTCAAAGTCAAAGTACACACCTTATTTAAAAGCTGATACTATGCTCTGTCTCTGTTTTCCATTTCATAGGTTGTAGCTATTCGTCCTAATAGAAGAATCAGTCACATTCCAAGCACGACAGAAGATGAGGAGGAAGAAGAAGATCATGATGATGTTGTCATGCTGGAAAAAAAGATTAGAACATCCAGTATGTCAGAACAAGCTCTTAAAGTTTGTCTTAAGGAAATAAAGAGGTAGGAGACTTTCAAATGGTGGTTTCTTCTGTTATTTCATTTTTTAAAACAAATCTTGCATTAACCTTTTCTTATTTGATATGTTTGTGTTGGTTGTGTTTTGGAAATTATTTTTAAAAATTTAGTAAATAGCTGGTTTTTTGCTTGTAAATTTCACCATTTCATCTTTTTGGAACATCAGAGGTGATGGCAAAGAAATATGAAGTCTTCTAGGTATGGTTTATACATTAATATAGCATTAAACTAAGCTCTAAGCCTCTATGTTATGACCCCAAGATCTAAAAAAAAAAAAAAAAAAAAACCAACCAAAAGAGCTAAATAACACCATAGTTGGTAATAATTAATGAATAAACTGACCCAGTTATTGAGTCTTTTGTCCTCTGTTTTTCTTTGGTGAGAGGGTAACTGCTATCCGTGGTGATATGATGGTTAACAACCTCTTTTTCAGTGGGGATGCATATATAGTGATACATACAGAGTGTATGTATAGGGAACTAACGCTTTTTTTTTTTCATTTCTGTTTGTATCCTATAAATAACCTATTATTATGCAAAGACGATCTCTTAATTCATTGATTAGCGACTTGCTTTTTTAGTATTACGGTTGTCAGAAAATAAGAGGGTACGCTGATGACCTCAAGTTTGCTAAACAGCTGTCTTGTGATGCAGGAGAGTCTTACTTTGCAGTTAATTCCTGGCTGGAGTTATGAATTCTGAACATATGTTTCCAGATTAAAGAAGATGCCTCAGTCAATGCCAGAATATGCTTTGACAAGAAATTACTTGGAACTGATGGTAGAATTGCCATGGAACAAGAGTACAAAAGGTAAACCCTTCTATTATTGTTGACTGTCTCTTGCACAGACATTTTAGGACAAGTAACCATCATGTAAACACTATGTACTTACTTCTGTCTTTCAAATGTTTGTCTCATTGTCTGATCGTAAAAAGGTCATTAACGTGTTACTGAAGTCTTACGGTCTACCTGGCTTAAAGTAAGATCTGGATACAGAATAGCCCATGTAGCTCAGTTGTACATCTAAGAACGTGAATTTTAAAAGTATTAGAAATATCTACACAAAAAAATGAAGGTATTATTGCCTACAATCTATGCTAGCATATATCTAAAATGATGAAGAAGAGAGCATCTAATTACTTCTTGTCTGTCAGACAAAAAAGCTTTTGTACGTTTCTGTAGCATTAGTCTTCCCGAAGAAGGTTCTGGTATGTCTTAAGTTAATCAAGTTTAGTAAGGAACAAAAGGATTGAAAAGCACAATTGCAGTTAATTTTAATAATTACAACTTCAGGTACAATAGAAGAACTGAGTGTCATGTCAGTTTTGTACCATAGTTTTCCAAAGTTGTGAGTAGAGAGTGATACTATTAGTATGGGAACAGTATACAAAAACAGAGAGTGAGGAAAAAGTAGAAAATCAAACATGACCTTTCTTACTGACCAGCACAAGTAGATTAAGTGGGCAAAATGACTTTCCAGAAGGTGTACTGCTGGAGAATAGGATTTGAATTCCTTCCAGGAGCTACTGAAGAATGAGGCTTTTGAGCGGCATTTAAAACAATCTGATTTTAAAGAAATTTAACATACCACACCAGCAGAAACATCGATCTTTTGCCTTCTTAGTATGCACGGTGATGAATTTTCACTGTTTTGAACTAGTCTTGGCTGTTTATGAATCTTCTTGTAAATATTTTCTTTAATCATTAAATTGTAAAAAATCTACCCACGGATCTTTGCAGATCTTTATGGTATTATTCAAAGAATCCCAAAATGAGTAAAGTATTTGTTGACAGTCGTGACCTAGCAGAATGTTTTTTTGATGAAAGTTGCTCTTTAATCTTGTAAAATTGTGCCATGTTGCATGTAGTTTAAAGTTTTTACTTTAAGAAAAGTTGCAAAGTTTGTATTCACATTCTTATGAGTGATGTTTTGGACTCCATAGCTACAGCGAATAAAAATACACATAAATATAAAAACAGAAAATCCAGTAGAAAATTATGATCATTAGTGAATTTTTTATTCAGTGGTTCATTACAAAAATTCATACGGTTGATGATGAGAATTTAATCACAATTGTCTGTATGTGAAATATGCACACTTACGGGTATGAGGGGTCTGCATCTGGAATGCATAGAATTTGAAGGGTGGATGCAGAGTCACATCACAGAGATGTGCACATCTGTGGGTCCATCCAGAGATGGACTTCACTGCTTCCTGCCTACCCTCTTTATGTTGTAGAGCAAAGGACAAGACAGCTGCTTTGTGCCAGAAATTCCTGCTATGTGTAAAGCATTACTTAATGTCCATCAGTGAGTCCTGACCATTTATCACAAATTATGGCAATTGCAAAAAACCAAATCTCTCCAGTCCTAGTATCATTGGGTATTTTTTTCAGTACCAAATCACTTGAAGTGTGCATAGCAAGTAAAGCCTGCCCTTCAAGCCAATAAGATCTTGCTCTGTTTGCAAAGATCATTATAGACTTATCATAAGTAGATGATGAAGACATAGGGATGAATTTATCTTTTGACCTTACAGGATCAGACTTACTTCTGTGAGAAAGCAAATGCTGAAAAATTTGCTTATCATTGAATCACTGTTCTAGAGTGGACGCTTAAGTACATTTGAACATGATTTCAATCTGTAACACAGTGAAAAAGTGTTGGAGTTTTTTATTTCTTTGTCAGTACTATGATCTGTCCAGCTTATGTCTAATTTCCTTATTAAAGGAGAATTATAATACCTTTGTTTTAGGAAAACATTGTCTGAAATATGTGTGTGTGTCAAGGGGAATACATTGATGAACATGTTTGAGAACGTGTTTGTTTCTACTGTATTGTAGAATGAATTATTTCAGTTTTTAAAGGTAAATGTACTGATTGATATCTTTTCTGTTGTCAATGATTGATAGATCGCCTTGAAATTCGTGCAGCTCGAATTCTTTTGGATAATGATCATTATGCTATGGAGAAGCTGAAAAAGAGAGTTTTGGAGTACTTAGCTGTACGACAACTTAAAAACAACCTCAAGGGACCCATTCTTTGTTTTGTGGGCCCCCCAGGAGTTGGTAAAACTAGTGTTGGAAGATCAATCGCAAAGACTTTGGGTCGAGAATTCCACAGAATTGCTTTAGGAGGAGTCTGTGATCAGTCTGATATTCGAGGCCACAGGTAACTACTTCCTTTCCTAATTGCAATTTTTGCTTTTGTTTGCTACAGAATATATTGATTGTTTTCATCATTAGCAAATACATAGGAAATTTGCTTATTTCAAACAACGGTAGTTATTCATTGATTTTTTAATTTTTTTTTGGTATTCAATGGTATCATTGAGGAGAGAATTTAGTAACGGGAATGGATGTTTAGTGTTGAGATACAGCCTTTATGCTTTCCTTCTGCTGCTGCCCTTTATTGTCATAGGGGAGAATGGAATTTCATCTTTAGTCATTTTTGGCACTTTGAGGTAGACATTCAGGTGAAAGTCTAATGCAGAATCTTAAATGTTGCTTCCGATTTTTCTACCTTTTAAGAGGGTTGCAAAGATTTAGCTGTACGGAATAGCCTATGAATAGCAATGCATTACTTTATAACCATGTTTGTTGCTAAAACAGGAGGAGAAACTGAGAATGATACTTTAAAGTTGCTATAGGATAGCAACTGAGTTACTTAGTATCTCAAACTTGTTAGTGTATTATTTCGGATTTCAAATGGAAGTTTATAGATGGACACCTAAGCTGGAAGATTTCAAAGGAGATTTTTTGGGTGACTTTCCTTAGGACTTTTTTTTGATCTTGCATCTACTTCTTAGTCTTTTAACCCATTTGTTTATATTAGTCTATTTCCCGTTCCTTGCAACTGGAAGCATAATGAACGGGTAATGTAAATAAGTAACTGCCAAACATCAGTGCAGCATTTTTGGTTCCATTAGATGTATTTTATGCTTATTACATGCAGTTTAGGAAATTTGGAATAATGAGTTTGTTAGTGTTCTAAAGATCTGTAAAACCACATGGGGTTTGTTTTTTTTAAAGCCACATTGTTGAATAAGATTTCTCCTTACAACAGTAGGTAAATTATTGTGAATTAAAGTTATTTGTTTGATGCCATGTTGCAATTAATTTTGTACAGTGACTATGCTGCTACTTTCAATCATTAGAATACACCACCGTTCTTTCTTCAATTCCAGGTTATTCTATAATTTCTTTTTGTTTTCATGGCATAAAAAGGACATTGTTATTCTTACCGCTTCCCTATGTAATTTTAATGAAAACTTAAAAGAAATGCCCTGATAAAAGTTTGTTTTGTGGTATCTGACTTCAGACTTCTGAGTGTAGGTAGTTGCATATGTGAATACGTTACAGTGGTGGGAGCTCATGGTCCCAACTGGAAGGAATGTGGGAGACTCACTGGGATATCTTGTGCTGAACATATGCATAAACTTCTAGGAATCTGGAATATAATGTATTTCTAGGAATCTAGAGTATAATATACTACTGATCACTTCTTAGACCAGAACATGAGAGATGGAAAAGCGACAAAACGGTGATTTTGTACTTGATGACAGCTTGAAAATTCTGAGTTGCTTGGTAAACCTTTAGCTCAGCACCCTTGATAAAATGAGCAACATGCATTTCTTCCTGTGTGCGTTCTTCTGTGGCAAATTTGCAGGAGTTTTGTTTTCCAGAGCGTTTGACACTTACCCAGAGATTGTAGCTTGAAAGAATCATCTGGAAGTTTTTTCTTAGTGTGAGTTTGGTCAACATACCCAGCAGCCACTCAGGCTTTGTAGATACATTTGTTTTAGTGCAATGGTATGGGTGTGTGTTTTGTAAACCTTTGTGATAGCTGGCCTTTTTACCAATTTACTTACACACTAATGGAAAAAGAAGTGAAACTCTGTCCTTCTTCACTATGTATTATTCTTGTTATTCATAAATTGTATTGTTAATCGCTGCTTAATAAGTTAGAATTCTGATGTTTTGTATTACTTAATTTAATACTTAATACCTAAACAATTTAAAATGTGATTCAACATGTTGCTATTCGAGCTGAAGCCACTAGAGGCTGTTCAATACTAAGCGTTACAGGTATAAGTAGCTTTCCCACCACTGAAGCCTTTGTTATAGGGAAACCACGTCTGTGAAATTGACATTATGAGTAAAAGCCAAACTGTCATCAACTCTTACTCAATTGCCAGTAAGTTCTTACAGGTTTCCTTTCTTTTTTTTGGTTTTGTTTTGTTTGACTTTCTATCTTGTGCCTAGACCTAGTAAAGAATGAAGACAGCTAGAGTCATGTGATAAAGAGGCTTTTAAAAACTTTTAAATTCAGGTGTTTGTGGCTGTCACTGGAGTATTTTTGAGGGCATTATTAAATTATTAATGCATGTTAGAAGCTAAATGTTATAAATTGCATATTAAAAAAAGTATTTGATAAGACAGTTTATTTTTCACCAGCAAAGGAAACACTGTCTGAATTAGCAAGAGTATCACGTGGTTACTCTTCAACAAACAAGTGTATAGTTTAAAAACAAACTTTAGAGCAGTTAGTACAAGGAGTCCCTTGTAACCAACTGCTTTTGCAAGCTTTTTGTAGGTAAAATCAAAACCAACTGTCGCATACTGTTTGTTTTCACTCTGCTTAAATTTTTTTTCCTGCTTTTTCTGCTTCTCAGGATAAGATTTAGTCAAATTAAAACTAGAGCTTTTCTGCAGACCCCTCACTGTGTTGTCCTTTTGCATGAATAAACCCTTCAAGTTATTCTCAGTCAAGTGAATCTATATTGTACATCTGGTGACAGTCATGGAGAGGAATTACAGAGGTGGTCTAAACATGGAGGAGACATAGGCTGCTGTTCTCTTGATTTTTACTGTTAAGTAGGCTGATTTTTTTAATGTTACGTGTTAGGAGTCATTCTTTTCTTCCTCAAAACACATTGCTGCACTTTAGGGCTTAAGTTAAGGATTCCATTAACATTGCAGAAGATAGATACTATATGTACCTACAAATGTACTAAACATTTTTTTTAAATGTACTAAATGTACTAGAACATTAAAAAAGAAACTGTGGTTCAGTTTTACTTGCAAGCAAACATTGCCTGAAATAGCATTCACTTTGGCCACTTAGTACTATTGTAAGTGAAAGAGGCAGACTGATAGATTCAGCAAGCAAAATAAAATATATTAGGCAGCAGCAGAGAGGGGAGTGGTTTCCACTGTGGTGTGCTGTTCCTGTGATGTGTAATGTGGGCAATTGGAAATGCCCCGTTTTTGCAGTTTCACTGTGGATCATGTGCTTGCAGCTGGGGGTTGTGAATCCTTTTTTGATTGGGTGAAGAGCAGCAACTACTGTTCTGCATTCCCGAAATGAAATCATCATCTTGGTACAAAACCAGAACTGCTTTATCAGACATCCTCCAACTGTTGTTTGCATTTACCACTCATCTATACCATATGTTAAAGTTTTCTGGTTTACTTTTGTTGTTAGCTTGTATTAAAAAAAAAAATCATAAAACCAAACCACCTTGAAGGATGACTTAGAACTTTTTTCCAAGAAGCTTACTGCATTTAAGATCTCCTCAGTACTGGTATTTTGTTTTATACACAAGCTATATGATCTTCTCTGTTGCATGTCTGTGTGGCTCTCTATTTTTAAAAAGGAAAGATGTAATTGCGCCATCTATTTATAGTGGTGCTGGTGAGATCACTGTGAGGCTCTCTTTTTATCTCTCTCGCCTCTGTGTGAAGCACTCTTTCTTATATTACCATTGCTTTTCAGTTTCTAGAAGTTTAGATAGTTTACTTCTGGCTTAGGCCTGTGCTGGAGACTTGTTCGGGTGCATCTGCGTGAGAAAAGGCGCGATTCCTCCCCAGTACAGCTATGCTAGCAGAAGTTCACAGCACAGGCCTTGTTGCAGTAGAAAAATAACAAACCTCAAACAGTTTCACTTGAGGAAGGAATAGCTTTGTTTTACAAGTATAAAGCATAGATATATTTGTAAAGTGCTTGAGTCGACACAACCTCTGTCCTTGCAAATAATAAGCTGTGACCTTGTACTAGTGAGTTCAGAAATAGTTTCTTTGGTGGCATTAACTTTGTTATCTTTTCCTACCTATGCAGTTTGAAAACCACTGTAGTTAAAAACTATTTAAAACTTTTTGTCTTTAGAACAGTATGAAGAAAGCGGGTCGTGTTTTTATCAATAATGCTAGTACTTCTTTAAGGGTTGCAATGCATACACATTCCCAGTTTATGTTGGGAGAGCTGACAAAGTTAGATTTCCCAGCTGTCTGTCTTGTTTTTTCTAGGATATGTAGCTCCCAGTGACAGACTACACAACTCTAGTGTTTTTTTTAAATGTAACTTTTCACTGATTTAAAAGTAAATAAAAAGATTACTAAATTACCCACGTTCTGTGGCATGAGCTCTTAAGGGTTTTTTTCGGTTGTTACTACACAAGCGAGATAACCAGGAAGCTTGATCTATACTTCCCGTTTTGAATGGAAAGCAGCTGACTCTCTTTCTAGATTTAATGCATGGAGAGAAACAGTGCATCCAAAATGAGCAAAGCCACATTATATCATCAAAAATGCAGATGTAGAATATTGTTTTCCTCCTTTCAACCCTAGCTAAAATAATGAAAATAAAGAATAACATCACATTCAGTGGCTGCTGTTCAGCAGTATTGAGTTGAAACACAAGTTACAAGGCAAAGGTTAATGTCTAGACAGATAAATGGCCATATCTGCATGTAATTTTCATGTATTCTGGTGGTTTTATAGGTAAATACCTGCAGGGTCTGTCTTACCCACGACTCTTGTGTTGAGGTATGTTCCATAACAACCATTTAGAAACGAAACAGGCTACCTATGTATTTTCAAGGTAAAATGCTACCTTATTGTTCTTTGTCATCCTACATATGACAATTACATTGGCATTCTTGACTTGCCTTGGAGATCCTGAGTCTTTGATTAATAGTACAATAAAATAAGTATTGGTCTATCTCTAATAAATGAAGATGTATCACAGATTTACTCTGTTACACATGGGAAGAGTGAATTGATATGTAGGTATTTGTTAACCTGAAATTTATAGTCAAAATTTATTTGAGTTTCTACTTCATGATATCTGATCAAATGACATAAATAAATTTAAGCATGCTTTTGAGATTTAGTGCATCAGTTAAACAAGCATATTGGAATTAGTTGTTTAGATTACCATGTTTAAAGATGAGTGAAAATACAAATGAGAAGACAGTATGAGAGAGGAAGAACAAGAATAGTCAATTGTAAGTAACGAAAAGAATAGCAGAATGTTTCTAGCCACCATGTGCTTTTCTCATCTGTTAACCTTAATTCTGTGGACACTGAATATTTTGCGGAACTGCTCCATATTTCCAACAATAGTTCCTTTAATTTTGACCAGTGAGTTTCTTGAAGAACTCTTGGTTGGTATAGGGAACCCTTTCATCCTTTTTGTAACATTGGATCCATTTCAGTTGGACTGTTTTCTATTTAAGTTTTTTACATGGTAGCTCATGACCCAAGGCTTGCTTTGGACAGGGTGCATAAAAAAAAAAAAAAAAGGGAAAGAAATTAGTGATTTTCTGTCACTGTTAGAATGTTTTTCTTATTGCTTGCTTTAGAAGCCACTTAATTTTTACACTCTTAAAATTGTATTTCTCCAAGGTATTGATCTCACTTGACTTGGCAAAGTTGTCTTGAGTATATTTGCTTTTTTCTGCTTTTTCTTCACTGCGAATCTTGATACATTGTGCTTCAGTCTACCTAGTGTATGATTTATTTTAAAATGTTCAGAAACTTGATTGTGTACAGCAGTTAAATCTTAGTGAAAGATGCTACATCTGTGAGAATCTGCCAAAAGTGTAAATATGTCATTAAATACCCAAATTGACTTGAATCTAAAGTGACTGTGGCTTGAAGTCTATTTTCAGGGTTGTTTGAAGGGAAAAAAAAGTATTTCAGTCTATTAACAACAACTTTTTTGTATCTCAAGAAAGAAAATCTCTTCCTGTTCTTGTTTGTTTGGTTGGTTTTTTTAAATGCTTCTATTTGGAAAATTTTTTTAAAAGTTTTAAAAAGCACTATGTGTGTGTGCATGGGTATAAACAAACAGATTTATTATTCAGAAAACCTTTTGGTACCTAACACTTAATATCTTCTGGCCTGTGTTGTTGCAATTGGATGGTGCAGGAAAGAGAGTGATTATTCACAGTTGTTTTCCCTTGACTAAAGAAACCCAGTTTACCTTCATTTAGTTTAGAAACCAAACCTGTTTCTTAAAACTGTATGGAACATAGATATCTCAAATTTTCGTAGAATTTAAAAGGAATAGATAAAGCTTTGTGTATGTAAAACCAAAAACATGCATTAAAAAAGTATAATGTCTTTAGGCATGCACTTGAGAATAATGTACCAAGCAAGAAGGAAGAATGTTTGATATTTACCTAATGATGTTATCCTACTACTGGCACAAATAGAATATTAAAAACAGTCAGGCTACATCATCTCTGAATCATATAATTTTATTTACTAGTGCAGTAAGCGCCTTTTGTTTAAAAAAAAAAAACAACAAAAAACCAAACTCAAGAAGAGCAACAAAACCACCACCAGCAACCAACCAAAACCACAAACAAACAAAAAAAAAACAACAAAAACCCCCAAAGAAACCCCAGAATTTCTACAATGATTAGTTTGGGTGCACTTGTAAATTGTTCACTTCTGTGAACTTGAGTTCTGCTTCAGTCTTGTAATTTTCTGATTGCATTTTATAGAATCCTTTAATTCCTTTGGCAAGGTTGACTGTGCGCAGATGGAGAATGAAGTGGCATGCTAGTATAAGAGCTCCCCCATGCAGATTCTTGGTCTGTAATAAATGTTACATAGTGAAATCCTCAGTGGAGAGGAATCCACTCACTCGCTGCAGAGTAAGACTCTACACAAAAGCAGTGAGGTGCTAAACTATTGCACGCAGGCTGCTCCAGTCTTTAGCAGCTGTCTCATGAAGGTGGTAAATAGGGAAGCTGAAATTCTGTTGCATTTCTGGCTGTTTAGAAGATCTTAAAAACTTTTATTTTTGCTCAGATCTAGAATTAAATATAGTAACTGCAATTTGTTATTAAATGTGATTAAATATTACATGGAACTAACACTATTGCTGTGTGGTTTGAGTTGGGTTTTTTTTAATATTTAAAGTCTTCTCTAGTATCTTTTGAAATTACTCCCATGGTATTTTTGGTTTCTTCTTTCTAAATGTCATCCTGTTTATTTTGGATTGTATTAAAATAGATCATATGGCAAAGCAGGCCTGTTCTGCATATCTGCTTTGTGAGGGTCATAAGATAGGTACTGTAATTCAGCACTTCATGTATCTCTTTCTTCTTAAATGACCAGCATTTCATACTCTTAATTAGAGTATTTTGTTTAGTTATGGCACAAACAGAAAAGACTGTGATAAATGGAGCAAACAAGGGATGCATGTAAAATGTAGTTTCTCTGTGCATCGTGAAAAAAAGTTTTTACCATCTTTGCTGAAAAATTCAGACTCAGAACTTTTTTGTTGTGTTGAACTGTTCTAGTTTTTATTTCATGTTGAAGTGACATAGTAAATACAGTTATTTTTTTGAGTATTAATTAAAACATGTTGTATATATGTTTATGTATATATATACATTGACAGTTCAGCATATTTGGAATTTTGCCCTAATTTGTAACATGCTGTGTGAACTCTGTTGTGATCAAAAAACCACAGTGTCGTCATTATTAAAATTTTAGTATTAATGAGGTTCCCAAATCTGCTCTGCTTGTTCATATAGTACAAGGATGCTTGTACTGAATCATGTAAAATGCCTGCAAGCCATGAAGTTTGGATCTATTTTAATGCATATGTTTATCTTTGCAGACCAACTAGTGCACCTTGGAACTGGGATTTTCATCTGCTGATATAATTGCTTATAATAGTTCAGATGCATATTCTGTATTTTTATCAGCTAGTTCCAAAAAGTTTTACAGAAAAGCAAGAATTGTTACAATGCTGCTTATTCTTATATTTTCTTTCGAGTTTGAGTTTTGATGTTTCTCCTCCTGTTACATGTGGCTGGCCGCTCTTTCCCCATATACATTCATTTCTCACAGGCGCACCTATGTTGGCAGTATGCCTGGCAGAATAATCAATGGACTGAAGACTGTTGGGGTTAACAATCCAGTATTCCTGTTAGATGAGGTTGATAAACTGGGGAAGAGCTTGCAGGGGGATCCTGCAGCAGCCTTGCTTGAGGTAAGAGATGTTAAATTACAAGCATTGTTTCATTTGTAATTAAAAAGAATTAAAGTACTGTACTCGGAAAGGACAATTCACTGGACAAAAGATAGCATGACAGTGTCAGCGTTTTTTATTCAAACACCACCTGCTATGTTTCCACTGTGATTTCTGTCAATTACTTGTGCGCAATGCAAATGCTTTATATAGTATGCTAAGTAAGATGTCTCAAATCTCAGTGATCTGTACTTAAACACAAGGATGTGTTTTGTGCTGGTTTGTATATTTAAAGACTGTTCAAGCCTTAAACATTACTTATTTGGGGGACTTCAAGACATTGATTTTTAATGACCAAATGCTATTAGCTCTAAGAAAGAACTGTAAAGCAGCCAGGTGGTAGCTGGACTTTTTCAAGTTTTCCCTTTCTTTCTTAGAACAATTTTAATATATTTTTGATGCTTTTGATGGCACAAGCTTATATGGGAGCTGAGTGTATTACCTAGCATGTAATACAGACTAGTTGCTTGTTCTTTTAGCAGTGTTTCTTTAATTAGTGTTGTAATTAACTTTCTGAACTTAAGTTATTCATTTAAGTTCCAGGTCCCTACTCCTTGACTGATTATGATGTGGTGAGGGTTTGCTTTCCATGAGAGTCAGCTATTAAGTGTGTTTTTTCTGAAATTCTGGGACTCAGACCTAGATACAAATGAATCTAATTTTGAAGTATGTGGTGTAGTTATTTTATCACAAAGAGTTTCGAGGCGTTAAAGTTGACTTGCTTAAAGACACATGTAAAATCTAGGAGACACAAGTAAAGCCTTTGGTGAATGAGATACTGTTGGAATATTTTGTAAATCCATCAACTGTTGAGATGTAATTAATTAGGTTAGTTGTTGGGATTTCAGGAGGCTAAAACTTGAGTGATTATGAAGATGATGAATGGAGGCCTATGCCTTGCAGGCTTCATGTATCAGAGGAGTCTGTAGCAGAGACCAGTAATGAGTTGCCGGAACCTTCTTTCTGCCTTCTTTTTCCCTGGAGTATGATACACGAAGATATCCCAGTACAATTCCTTCTTCCACTGACTTGCATATTCAGCGGTTTTATTCTAGCAGTTTGCTGGAGAGAGGAAGGAGTGTCTCTTCAGCTATGGGGAAGAAACAAAGAGCATTGCCTTTCCCCAGCATCTTAGTGCAGAAGGCTGTGTACATCTTCCTGTGCTAGCTCAGATGATGAACAAAGGAGGGAATGAGGAAGGTGCTAGTGCAGCAAGGCTGGACTAGGCTGAAACGTTTGAGGCTGTCCAGAGCAGATGTAGCATTAGTGCACTTAAAAGTTTTGATACTGTGCACATTTAGAATTTCCTTATGCTGCTGTATGTTTACTCTGTCTCCCTCTCTTTTATGTTCCCTCTGGCTGTAGGGGCTACCATCCTAATCACTGTTTCACCTGAACTGCTTCTGTGACTGTTCTTTAGCTGTTTCAGTCAAAAGGAGTTGGGTTAGTAAAAGATATTTATCCGAATTTTTTGAGCTAGCCTGGCTCACTTTTACTGAAATGATTTAGGGCGTAATCCTAGAAGCATCTCAGTTGTCAGACTTAAAGTATAGTAACTTCTGTAGCTGGGCGGTTGTAGGTGGGGATGAAAGTGGTTCTGGTAATATTTGCCTACAGAGTCATTCTAATGACTCTTTTTGACTGACAGTGCTCAATACAGTGATTTGAATATGAAAAATGCTACTTAAATTAAGGTGTCATGAGCTCATCTGTATGCTGTATGACTTTCTGCAAATGAAATGTCATTTGGCATTCTACAAATGTCATTATTTTCTTCCTGCTAGATAGTGTAAAATTACTGTTTTGACAAGGCCAACTAGTTCTTTGAAAATCAGCATATGAACAGGCTGTGGTTTGAGAGCTCTGTTTTGATCTTTGCATGTTAACATGAACTAGTAATAATTTAAATGTGCTAGAAAATACTATGGCTTCACTTTTTTAGCTTTTAAAAATGACAGTTATGATCCTTTACCTGTGTATTTCTCAAGTGTGTAGGGTGCATGAGAAAAGCCTCTAAGTGCAAGGAAAACAAGCAGGGGAGTGTAACAAATATTGAGATACATTTTCTTTTTTACTTTTCCCTTGCTGGGATTTTATTTACTCTTTGCTGTTAATGGTAATGAGCTCTTTTTCTGAGTTTTCTGGTATTTCTTCTGTCATTTCTCCTTTAGATATTGAACTAAGCTGGCCTAAATCTAGTCGGTGCACGGATTAAAAAATACTTGAAAATCAAATTGTGTTGGCTAGCTGACTGTTGTTTGCTAGGCAGCCAAAATCAGTAATGAAGCAATGATTTGTCACTTCTTGGAAAGAGAATAACTTTTTTTGGAAGTGTTCTGATCACGAATCCAGATTTGTACATTAATATTGTTAATGTTATTCAACCTTTGCTGTTTCTTTTAATTTATTTTTCATTCCCTGTCTTGCAGTGGAGAATTAGCATTTCTGTTCTTCTATCATGTCAAGTGCGTGAGGGCAAATATAATTAATTAATTTTTTTAATTATTTGTATTTGAATTTTTGAAACTTTGTTGTTGCTTGGGGATGCTTCTGTTTTCCATATTTTAAATCCACATTGTCAGTGATATTCAACTCAGCTCCTGCCATGGATTATTCCAGCTGAGGCTTGTCAGGTCAGCTTCCAGCTGTCTGCTTGGGCTGCAGTCTTTATGTAAGTCATTGCTAATTGACCATTAGTTGCATCTGGAGAAGTAATTGGTCTATTAACCATGTCTGGGCTGCTCCCATGTGAGATCTGTATATCCCTCTACTGCTGTCTAAACATCCTGAAGCAGGTGCTTTACCTCTTCTAATGGAGAACTCATGCCTGGACATAACAGCTTAATTTTCATCTGCTTTTTGTGGTTTACATTGTTGGAAAGTCCATCTGGAATGAGCAAAGGTGGCTATTATGTAGGAGAAGAAACAATAGTAAGTGGTCACCTAACTGGCACGTTTGTTTTCAGACTGCTGCTTCTTGTTTGGTAAGTGCCATCATTAAGTATAAAAGGCACATCGTTTTTTTATTAATGTGCAGGTGTGTTAAATTCTCACTGACTGTCTACAATGGGATATATTCAAGAAGAAAATTGCCATACTCTGTAAGCTTGGAAGCAAAGCTTGCTGTTTTATAATTGCCGGATATGTGTTTAGTTCTAGTGCTTCTGCAGAGTTGTTGCTCAAGCAAAACAGAATGTCTTCCTATTTCCAGTTACTGTTCATCAACAAGGGAATGTTTTAGTCTAAATTTAGATGAGCTCTGTTTAAAACACAAGAAAACAGAAATGGATCCAAGTGACTGATAGTGAGTATTTGTATGCAGGGAAATTAGACCAGGAGCATAGCCAGGCAATTAAATGTTCATGAAACTTATTCTGGATTTTGTGGTAATAAAAAGCTGGTACAGAGAAGCCTTTGTATGCACGTGAGCTGTCGGCCATAAATTAACCAAGATGTTTTGTTCACTGAATGTTCTTTTTGTACTTAATATTTTCGTATTGGTTGAATATCTTTGAAAACTTTAGAACTTGAACTTTAGAACAGATACATAGCTGAAGAACAGTTCTATTTGCTTTGGAAAATCTGTTTTAAATGTGTAGGCGTGATACTGGTTTATGTCCTAATCTAAGAAATAGTTACCATGACAAAGAATTGTTATTCTACAGAAATTCTAGCCCTTGTACAAAATCTCAGATAATTCACATTTTTAGATGTAATCTGAGTTGATTTTGATTAGTTTCCTTTACCTTGATTGGATACTATCATCTGTGCATGAGTACAGCATCACTATTTTGTATATCTTTGCAAAAAAAATTATAATCACCAGCTTAGCAGTTAGTAGGATTCATAAGGATTTCTAGTTGCAGACTAGGAGAAAGAGATAAACGTGCATGTAGATAAATGTTATAAAAACCAACTTGGTCTGTCAGAATACATTGTTTTTCAACATCTTTGGAAATAGTTGCAAATTCTTCAGCTATTAAACTCGAATTTTGTGGAAATACCATGTTATCAGTGTAAAAAAAAAAAAAAAAAGGTAAATTGAATTAGGGTTTGCTGTTTAAATCAGCTTTGAAAAATTTGCAAGAGTAGACTTTGAATGGGAGACTAAGAGCTACTTTCTTTGAAGATAGTTTGTAGATGCTCCGATACCCTGCCTGTTGTTGTGTCCCCTACATTTTAGGGCTAGATTGTATGACTAGTTGAGGTAAGAGACTCTGTAACTCTGATTGAATTATGCATCGGTGTACTTGGCTAGTCAGGATACAAGGCCTTTGCCTTCATCAGTAAAGAAGGGAGTAAATGATAGCAGCTGCCTGCTGAGGAGGGCAAGAAAAGAAGCTTTTAAATAGCTTATAGCCAAGAAACAATAACGTTCACTGAGTCCCAACCTTAGTTTTAGAATTTAGGCATGTTTGTCAGCATGTTTTAAGATTTCACTATTAAGGGAATGTGTAACTTGTATTTTAATACAGTCGCAATACATTTGCAAATATTAGTCTTATATCTGTGCAGTACTTCAAAATAAATCAGAAATTGTTCTGTTTTTAAAAAACTTCTGCTGCGTTTCTGGCATTCTGTAAAAAAAGTATTTTCCTAGTTTGTTTTGATCATAAAACATTCTTCTGCTAAAGATTTTTAACTTTTCAAAGACTGAACAGAATTTAAGAGTAATGAAAATTCAGAATTGTTTCTTTCATAACCAGCTAAGAAGTGCTCAAATTCAGTTTTTTAGAATTATCAACACCATTCTTGGCTATAATTCAAGTGGCTAAGAGAAGGGGTGCATTCATTTGGGTATAGGCAGATAAATTATTTTGACAGCAGTGTGCTATTTCTCAGGAGATGCATAGATCCTATTATTTGTAACATGAGAATTATTCATGTTGGCATAGCATTGATAGTTTATCATTTGGGAAGGAAAAGTGTGGCAGTACTTTAAGGGGTGTGGAATGAAGGTGGTTCATAGGTGGTGATATAGAAGCCAAGTGTAGATTGTTATATACCATGAACTTCCAGTTTTCAGCACTGTTACAAAAACGATACAACGGCACCTTGGTATGCTCGTGATCTGCATATATAGAATATTTGTCATCTAATGCAGGAAAACAGCTTATACACGTAATCGCTTAAGTGTATGCAAGTGTTACATTAGCACACATAAGTAATACTAAAAGCAATAGGAAAACGGCAGTTATTTAAGCCATAGTTCTACTTGTGGAGTAAATTTTTGAGGTTGGTCAGACTATGTGTTGTTATTCTTCAGTGCTTGCTTAATTTTGTCTCTGCTCTTTAAATCACAAAATTTCAGGAAAAAAAAAAAAAAAGAAAAATGCAAAGATTGTGTTAGGAAAGCCGGGGCTCGCCTGGAGTCGAGACTTGCATGGAATGTCATGGGCAATAAGAGCTGCTACTGCTACATTAGTAGTAAAAGCCTGGACAAAGCTGAACGAGTGGGGCAAGTGATTTAGGGAGAGCAGATAAGGCTGGGAGGATCTGTGTTGGTCTTCACAGTGAGATCTCTCAGGTTGGTGTGCTTAGAGTAGGAAGAGCTACCAGCAGCAGATGAGGATTGGAGTCAGGGATTACTTGAGAGAATTCTGCTCATACAAGTCCATGGGACCACATGGGCTGCTTTTCCAAGGGTGCTCTCAAGTCCTTGAAAAGCCACTCTCTACATCTGTAAAAGGTCATGGAGATAGCTTACAGGAGGTACTTGGTGACTGGAGAAATGCTGCAGCCATCTTTAGAAAAGGGTAAAAAGAACTAATGGGGAAATGATCTTTTTTTTGCATATGGTGTGGAATGTAGTTAGAAAGCAATCATTGTGAGGCAGGATATTGAGGGTCAGGCTTTAGTAATATAACATATTTTATGAAAGTAAGGTCAGATTTGACAGATCCAAATGGAATATAATGAAAATGTGCATATTTTATTTACTTCTAATTGAGCAACTGCATCAGTTTTGTGTTTACTCTTGTTAAGGTCTTGGATCCAGAACAAAATCACAGCTTCACTGATCACTACTTAAATGTAGCCTTTGATCTGTCCCAAGTCCTTTTTATAGCTACAGCCAACACTACAGCTACTATCCCACCTGCTCTGCTGGACAGAATGGAAATTATTCAAGTTCCAGGTAACATTACAGTGTTTTCATTAAAGTGGCTATTGCAAGTCCTTAAAAAATGTTGGGGTGGGGTGTTTTTCCTGAAATAAAAAGCAGTTCCTTAAGGTAAGCCTGCTAGAAATCTAGACTGAATGGCCAGAGTCATTGAAAGAGACTAGTCAGCATGCCTCCATTATGGCCTCTGTCATCAGAATGAAATTTAGCATTGCACTTAGGAAAATTCAGTTCCAGGTCTATGGAGATACATTGGTACGTTCTGTGACAATATTTTCAGTAATCGATGTGTTTGTAGTCTAACTGACTGTTGGCTGATGCATCTTTTTAGGATTCCAGTGAAGAAAGGGATCTTTGAAACAGTAAAATTGTATTCTTGTTCACATGAAGTTACTAATAATCACAAAGTATCATACCAACAGCCTTTTAAATTATAGCTGGGGTGTTTTTGTTAAATTCAATCAGATACAATTATAAATGGTAAGAAATTTGGTTATATTATAGTGTGTAAGCAAAAAGATTAGTAAACATCTGCTTTTTCTTTTGAAGGATACACACAAGAAGAAAAAATTGAAATTGCACATAGACATTTGATTCCTAAACAGCTTGAACAACACGGCCTGACTCCACAGCAAATACAGATTCCCCAAGTAACCACTTTGGACATAATTACCAGGTAAATCTGTTATTCATTGCTTTAAGTTTAAGTAACTTCTTTTTCTGGTAACTAGTAAATTATTTATTAAGTGATAACACAAAACATTTTTTAAGATCTGCTGTTCTTAATAGCTTCAGAAGTTCAACAATCGGTAATTTATGGAATTGCTCTTTCCTGAGCTCTGTCTGGCTGTGCTGTCTAAACCGAATCATCCTTCCTTCTCTAGAGAATTCCTTGCTCCTTGTGAGTGCGGCTCACAATCAGTTGTGGTGACGCAATTGGCAAGGCACTAGGAATAAACAGAAACACTTGAGCTAGTATTTCTGCAGCGTGCAGTGTGTGAAGCCATGGTCTTGGCAGCAGACAACCTTTATTTTAAAGAAGGAAGTTTTATTTCTGTCATTTTTATAGAAAAAATGGAAATTACCATTTTGTTTCCTGTGACTTGATGGGGCCGTATTTGTTTAAAAATTGGAATTAGGTTAAAAAAAAATAAGATGTGGTTTTTTTTAAATAGCTTGTATTAATTAGAACTACATTTTTCGTGGACATGAGAGAAAAGATATTGATCAGAACATCTATCAGACTTTTCCAATGGAAAAAGTATATCAGTTTTCAATGAATTGAAGTGTATTATGACCAGGAACAGCATTTTGGCATTTAGTGAGTGTTGTTGTCTGGTGTTTTTTTAATTCATAAACTAAAAGAAAATATTCTTTTGCAGCCAGTTCCTCAACTTTCAGTGAACTGTATTTTGAGTTTTATAACAGTTCTTCCTTTAAATTTTTATGCATCTGAGAAGAGCTCAGTGCATTGGAGCATTGTTTAGCATTTCACTAAGGTTGGACACCAGGTGTTAGGCATGTCTTCTTCCCACTTAGTAGTTTGTCTTTCTTTACAATTATTTGATAAAAGCACATGATTTATTTTTTTCTGTTTATTAGAGTAGCCCAAGGTCTCACTGCCTGTCACATCTCATTGTATTTGGATGTATTTTTAAAAAGAAGGTGTGTTTACATTCAAAAGAGATTCCTCTTACAAATAATATCCACCAGTAAAACAATTGTCTCTGTGCTAGATACACTAGAGAGGCAGGAGTCCGCTCTCTGGATCGGAAGCTGGGAGCTATTTGCAGAGCAGTGGCAGTGAAAGTGGCAGAAGGACAGCACAAAGAAACAAAGCCAGATCGTCCTGAAGTGGGTGAAGGAGAAGGTGTGTATCTTTTGCATGTTTTATTGAGAGTAAAGTTCTAACATAGTCACCAGGAAGCTGATTCATCAACCTTTTCTCCTTTTTTTTTGCTTCTTTAAGGGCTCTGTTTTTAAAAGCTTTGCTAAGTGGTATTCTTATTATGCATGATTCAGGTAGTGCTGAATTATGGCTTGGAACTTAACTAGAGTAATTTCAACCTGCCAGGTTGGTAATTGAGAAGCGCAGTGGATCTGTTTCATATCACAGGTATGCAGTTATGATTTGTGTATGTTTTTATGTCTTCCTAGGCTTCTTTACACAAATCTTTCACTTTTGTTCTTTAATAGAGGACTAAGCATGGCTTTAGTTATTGTATTTAAGGAGATTAACTGTGCTGTGCATGCCCTACCAGCTCAGAACTCAAACCCGTTATTTTGTTGTACTCTAAAATAAATGTCTGCCTGAAAGGTTTGAAATTTCGAAAGGTTTAGGGGCTCTTTTTGTGTGCCTTTAAGACTGCACTTATTCTAAGTCTCTTGAAGCTTTATCAACTTCAGTAAGTCTGTTTGTGTTTCCCACATATACAGACAATAGCGATTTATCATTCCCAGTTGTCAAAAGACTGAATGAAAACTAAAGATAAAATTCTCAAACATCAAAAATACTCAGGTAACTGCTTCACCAGTAAAGGTAGACCTCTTTCTAGTCTTGAAATATAAGGCGGGAAGGAAGAAGTCAGGCCCATGGTCCAGGACAACACGCAACTGCTCCCTTTTTCATCCCCAAATTAGTATTCTCGTTACTAAAACAAGTTGAACATCCATACTGTGTTTGGTGAAACATACCATTCAGAGCATAGACAGTTGCGCTTTTCTACCAGCCAGTTGCTGATGGAGGATCTTGCTGTACACAGCAGTTTTCTGTTGAAGGTTTCAGAGTGCTCGACGCAGCACTAGATGTCTGCAGGAGCCCACAGTTCAAAGTGGATGAGAAATGTGAAAGGACAGAATTCAAACCTGAAGTTGAACGTCTAAAATGTGGGTAGTCCTTAGTCTCAACAAATCTAGCAAGCCGGGTGTTGGGTGTTTTGTTTGTTTGTCTTTTATAGACTGCAATGAGTCCAGTTGACGCTTTCTGACAAGTTAGTCAGAGAATAACCGTGTGCCAGAGAACACTGGAAAGCAAAAGCTGCAGAATGGCTGCTTGCTTTTGATCCGGAATACTCAAACTTGAAATACTAAAAAGACCCCTGTTGGTTTGATGTTGTGAAAGATGCCACAACTAAGCTGATGTGGGGAAAATCTTTAAATTTTAACATCTGTACAGCCAGAATAATTCTGGACTGGTTTAGAGGAGGACAAATAAGCTGTCTCAGTATGTATTCCTTTAAAATAAGGCATGGTGCTCCCCCCACTCCTTTCAGAGAGTAAATCCTGGGGGAGGAAATATAACTGGTATTTTTACAAACAAAAAAAAATAATTAGAAGAGTATATGAAGAAGAGTTTTATCTGTAGTAAAAACTTTTGTAACTTGTCTCTGGAAATCTGTTTATTGATGTCCTTTCAGCTTTACCATGCCTTTTTTCCCTAACTCAGTATTTCCCTTCTGAAAATTAAATCTTCTTTTACCTTGTTAAGTTTCCCGAGATCATCATAATGTCTGTGGAAAATGTAATATCAGAAGATTGAATTTGGTCTACAAATTAGTGTTTGCTTAAGTGAATTCAGCTCAGTTTTCTCTGAATGTTTGGCTTAAAGTGAACTCTCACAGTAGCAGTGGCTGTGCACGCGTGAATGTCCCATCTCCATTAAAAGGAAGAGCTTCTAAGACATATTTATTAATGCTTTCCATTTATATTATGTGCATCTTGTATACCTTCTCTCTTCTGTGCTGGATTTTTCTGAAGTCAGAGACCGAGTTTGTCAATACTTCTGTGATACCTGAACTTGCTCTTGAAGCAGAAAGCTGAGCCTATAGGCTGTGGTGGCCAGGCTTACTAGTGTCAAGCAATATCAGGTGTCTTTTCTACTGCCATATTTTTGAAGTATTTCTTTGCACTGAAGGGTAGCTATGTCTAAAATTTGCTTGAAAGGTCTAATGTGATTGCTGGATGAAAGTGTCATTCCGCTCTTCAAGCCTTCTAATAAAATAAATGAAAAGTAGGTTCAGAGCACAACTCCTGATACTGAAACAAGAAACATTTTACTGTTAAAGCAAAGAACAAAAAGGAACTGTATTAAACATCTCAATCCAGTGAAAGAGATATTTACAATATTAAAATTAGAACTGTACTTGCAACTTAGGTATTTACACTGTTAAAATTAGTACTAGATTTGCAATTCATGAAAGTTAAGCGAAAACAGCCAGCTAAGTGCTTCAAAAGAGGGCAAAATGCTAGCATTTTTGGTTGACGCACAATTTGGAGTAAGCCCAGAAGAAATGAGCTGGGAAGAGTTGCCTTTGTACTTCTGGAATTGAAACTATCCGTAAGAAAAAGCTGTATGAATCAAAGGGAGTCCAAGGGACAGGTGGCTCTGTAGTTAAACTTTGGTATTATGAAGAGATACATAGAATGGTGCAGTTTGCAAAATGTGTTTTGTTTTGTACTAATAATGTGCTTATACCCTGCTGTATTTTTAGCAGAATATGTCACTTGTTGGAAGTGCATGAGAATAGGACACTTTTTAAAAATATTTTTGTTTAGTTTTTATTCAGTCTGTTGGAAACAACCAAGTATTTAAAACAAAACTTGGAAATATCCCCGAATACTTGCAAGGTGTAATAATGGGATTTGTAGCCTTATTTCTTTGAAAATTTTTTTCCCTATTGACTAGTGGTCATTTGTGCAGTTGCACAAATAACATATAACAAATGACTCTGGAAGAATAGTTAATCAAGTTGTTGTCTCTTAATAGTTTAATTTGTAATTATTTCTTGATTTATTTCTTCATCTTTATAAGAAGACCTATAAAAGTTGAAAAACGTTAGGTGGTAGAAGCATAAAAAATCCGTTGTTATATTGTTATATTAAATCAGATTATTAACTCAGTGGAGCATCTGTTTTCAAGGCTTTGTAAACGTCAGGCTCTTGACACAGTTTGATAGTAGGCTCTAAAAACGGAGGATACCTGCCATAGCAGAACTGCTGCTAGGAGATACGCTCTGAAGCCGTGTTTAGTGCTTTTCAAAAATGCATGACTGAAATACACTGGCAGCTTTGTATTGCCTTCCTTGCTCCTTTGACTCCTGAGCTTTATGATGGAGTTGGCAAGTGGAGGAGTGTTAGTTTGCGTCAATCGTTGAATTTGTACAGTGAACTTCAGCAAAAGCAAATGGAGTCATTTTTCAGACCTCTCCAGGGAGTCATCCCTGTGTACAGTAACACTATCTGGTATTTTACTGAAACACTATCTAAGATTTATGAGACACTCAGCTAGTCTTTGACACTAGAAGAAATTCTAGGAGTCACAAAAATATGTGAAACTCTCCTTCCTATTTTAGTGCAACTGCCTTGAGAATACAATGCAGCAACTGTGCACTAAGGCATCATATCATGATACGACAGTTGAAAACCAGAGTGAAAAATGGTTTGTCTAATTCAGACTTGAAAGGAGGTTTAGGACGGGTAATATTCAATAACTGAATGTGATTAAATGAGGATTCTGTCTATGTCGAAACCAAGGCTTTAAGAGTACTTAAAGATTTCCATAACCCAGTAATACAATACAGTTTGTTCTTCTCTTTGTAGATGAAACAACACTTGGTTTTGAGTTTAAATGCACGTTTGACTGACGTGGTCAACATGAACTGAAACATGTAGTCTTTACTGTCCCTCCCTCAACTTGGGTATAATGCTTTTTATTCACAAAACATTATTGTGCATGACTGGGGGGGGTTGGCTTGTTTTTAGGATGTATAAGGGCCTTAATTATAACATCAGGCTAAACATCGCTGCTCTTGCAAGAAGTGACCTGTTCTGTGTTCTAGCCAAAACTCAGTACTTCCAGCTGCATGGGATCTTCCATAGCACTGGGAAATGGGTGTATGAAATCTGATCAGGATAAATCCCATGGTGGAATGACTGTAGGAACTCAAGTTTGAGCTCAGCTGTGCCGGCATTAGTGTACTTATCAGCTCTGCAGACTGTAATACGTGGTTCTTTCTAAAAATTGCATGGAATGTCTTTTCTATTTTAGGCCAAAGAGGCATAAATGATATGAAAAGTTGGGTTTATATACAGTTTTTTTTACCATGTTAACTTATCTAGATATTCCTGCATGAAAACCTTGAATTCAAGTGCTTCAAGTACACATCGTTATTCTAGATCGGAATTGGTGGAATGTAATTATTTTGTGAAAAGAGAAATGTTCTGATCTTGTGGGGAAAAATGCACATAGCATTAAATTTAGGTATACAAGTAAGTGTTAGTAGGATTGGGGTCCCAGGAAGGAGTTCCTGTCCAAAAGAAAAGTATGTAGTGCATAAGATTTAAGTTGGACAATGGAAAGTTGCTTTTAAGATGTAGTTTCATATTATGCCTGGCTTTGAATGTGAACTATTGTCAACAAGGGCAATCCCAACCTTTCCTAGTGTAGTATTGTGGAGTTTGTTAGTTAGTTTGGAGGGGCTAAAAGAATTCTGGGTCTGTTTGTCATGTGCTGAAGCATCTGCCAGTAAGTCAGCTGAGAAAAAAGAACATGCTACTTTCCTTTTACTTGCCCACAGACTTGAAACCTTTTCTTTCATGCTTATGTTCTTTCTTGTACCTCTCCATAGCAAGTCAGCAAATCAGAATACGTTATGTTAAAAGCTGTTTAAAAATTTTAGGTTTTTATTATATTCTTCTATCTTGACCAGTAAGCATGGCTAGAAATCTTTGGGTTTAAGACTCGCGTATTACTAGTGCTTAATTTAAATATGTTTTTATGAGGAGCTGAGAAATTGCCACATGTTGAGGAAGTTTTGGGCTCTTCTATTTTCTCATTTCCCTTATACCTCTAGAAGAAAGCAGAAGTCTTAAATTCTTAAATCTTTGTGCTGTGGATTCCTTTTTAGATTAAATCCTGAATTATATATAGAAGTTCATGGTCAGTGTGTTTTCTTATGAGTCCCTTTTCTTACAAATCCAGTATTTACATGCAGGATTTTTTTTGTTTTAGGAATTTGAGATATGGTTGTGATATTTGCTGAGCAGCTGCAGATTCTGCTTGGAAAATTTTACAGACATAATCTTCTGTTGGTTGGTTGTTTTGGGGATTGTTTTTGGAGGGTGCTGTTTCTTGGGGTTTGGGCTTTTGGGGTGTTTTTTTGTTTGTTTGGGGTTTTTTTTGTTTTTGTTTGGGTTTTTTTTTTTAGTTTTTCCAATTTTTAAATGTTGAAACAACTCACTACTATGCTGCTTTTGTTTAGGCAGTAATGTAATGGTACATCAGCAAGTGGTTCCTCTAGTGCAATGTGGAGCTCTGCTAAGGGCACTTTTTGACTTTTTAGCCGATTTCTCCAACTCTATTCAAAATGCAAGATGGTTAAGCTGTTATCCTAACCAAAAGTTCTGTTTCTGGAAACTTGAATTTACTGTCTTGTTTTAAATAAATATGTCATTTAACTTGTACTGTGGTTTGTGGCTATTCATCTGGGATAGGTAGGGAACACGTGTTTGTCATCATTAATGGAAATCTTAGTTACTTGCGCCTTTATAAATCCTTCGTAGTCAGCATTTCTATAAAGGTGATGAAAGAAGATATTTTCTCCTTCAAAGAAAAAGTTAGTGTTTGTAATTATCTTTGGAACGTGACTGTGTGCTTTTATAGAAAACTAGATAATGTCAGAATTTAGGTTAATATTTTTAGAAAAAGTCTGGAGTTTGTTATTGTTACAGATTATAAAATGGGGTCTACTAATTAGATTATATAAACTCAAAGAAAGAGTTTCTGATTCTTTTAGTCGGTCAGGTGGCCTCAAAAATTACCTACTGATTTGTTTACAAGAAGTCTGTCTCCTTCAGTTATATACATAGAACTAGGTGAAAAAAGAGCCAGCAGAAATGGAAAATGGTGTTTGTTAGGCAGTAAAATCTTGGTATAGAACAAAAGCAGTTGGGTTTAAACTCAGTTTTGTTTTAAAATATGAATTTTCATATCAAATTACTCAGGTTTTGAAGACCCGCAGTGTTGAGTTGCAGTCCGAGTTGCAAGAATAGCATGCAGGATAATGTTTCCTAGACTTGATAGTATTTATGTTTGAATGTATTATGTACCAAAATAGTAGTTCAACAAAAATACAGAGACCTGCCGGAACAACAGGAGGGCCACCTGACAAAGGCAGTGTTTACAGTAAAGGAATGGGATTTATGCATGGAGCATTGAGTTGTACAATGGAAAGATTAGTGGCTCTTGGATAATAACTGTTAGATTTGAGTCTTGAATGAAAGCTGAGTTGGTGTTACTACAATAATGGTGATGTAGAATGTTTTCCAGAATACTGTATGAAACCATTAGTGAGCATTGCACTGCAACAAAATTAACTGTAAGAAGGCCTTTCGATATCAGGATTAATAAAAGGATAGTTTGTGTCTTGTGAAAGGAGACATTCTTCATCCATTCTGAGAATTACTTTTGCAGCACAGAACACCTCTTAATGTTATGTTAAATAGATTAGATCAGTGATCTGTGTTTTTCTGTAATTGTTTAAATTCCTGGATCTTCAATTATTGTGCATGCATTAATATGCAAAGGAAGACTGTTTCTTTGTTGAAAATAAAAAAGAATTCAAAGAAAGGAAGTAACAGCGGGTAATTTCCCAAAATGTGGTGCAGAAGTCTTGAAACTCAGTATACGTTCCTGCGTAATATAGACCTTAGAAAACATCTGGATTGTTCAAGTATTTTTCATTTCTCTGATATGTTTCACTAAAATACTGCTTAGGGCTCTTGAGAAAATGGTAATGACCCTTTTGCATCTGGATCAAATTCTGTGGGGAAAAGACTCCCTGCTTACATTCTCCTTCTGTATACAGTCGCTTACGTAAATGTGCCGTGTAGGCCTAGTACAAATGATGTTTAAGTTCTTGAGCTTATTCATGCAAACAACCAGATGTGTAGTCAGATTTAAAACAGTTTTGAGACTTTGATATTTATATAGTCCCCATTACAATTCAATTTTGTACAGAACACACATTTGTAGAGGAAACAGAAATTTTAAGGAAATGCTACTAAAGAAACAATTGTATAGGTAAGAAATACAATCATACTGTACATGGAGGAAGGAAAGAGCACACTTTTGCATCCATAACTATTGCTTTAATTATGTGATCCCTTCTTGATGGTGCTTGAGTATATTGCATTCAAAAGTGTCAGGCTAATTGGGTTTTATAGCCCTTCCTGAAGAGTATATCACACCTGTAGGTATTTCTGAAAATGCCTAATAATTTGATCTTTTAATTATCTCATCCAAAGAAAACAGCAGAGCTGTATTAAGTCTAATATTTCAGGACAAAAGCCACAGGTGAAGTTGTTATACTGAAATTGATTTTTATTTTTTTTTTCACTGAACAAGGACTGTACGTGCTGTGTGCTGAACTGGGTGTTGAACAAAAAAGGGACATCAATTTTGACTTGAATTAAGCAACCTGATCTAGTGAAAGGTGTCCCTGCATATGGTGGCGATTGGACTAGATGATCTTTAAAGGTCCCTTCCAACTCAAACCATTCTATGATTAAGTAAAGCCATAGTAGTCATAACGGACACAAATCAAAGTAAAAAGTGTAATGGCAGAACATGTGCTGCATAGGCTGCAGTAAAGGTGGGCTGTGCTATGTTGGGGTAGTGGTTCCATCTGATGGCCTGGAAGGAGGCGGCACACCAGGGCTGGATGAGTTAGGCTTCCAGTGCAGCTGGTTTCCGTGTGATCTACCTGTAGCAGCTTCTCCTGTGCCCGGTCAGCTGGTATTGAGGGTGTGCGTGCGAGGATTGGGGTGTGGAAGGCAGAGTTACAGAGCAGTAAGTTACGCCGTCCTTGTTGGATACTGTGAAATGAGATGTTACTGAATGTAATGCAGGCTAGCTATAAGTAATGCAGCCGTGCGGCAAAGCAATGTATGTAAATCTGGCCAAAAATGCTCTTACTTTATTTGACAGGACTTAAGTATTAGTGCTAGAAGTTAAGCATTTAAATCCTTGCAGAAAGACCACAGAGAGTGCAGTTGTAAACGTACGTACAAAGAACAGTAGTTACCGAACTTTTGGTATTTCCACATTCAGCTCCATATTCTGTATTACACTACGTTAAACATAATCGTCTCCTATAAATACTGTTTTTATGTGCAAATCTGATGAAAAGTGCAAAGTCCTAAACGAACTTCATGTGTTTTGCTATTTGACCTAGTTTAAAATGCATTTAAGCCAAGTGAGTTGCATCTCTAGATCAGTGCTCTAAATTTAACATTATGTTTGCTAAACAATTAGAGCTTGTTTAGGCTTAATAATTAAATTTGATGCCATATTATCTTTAATTTGACAAGATTTTTGTGAAAGATGGTTTAAGTATGCATTAACTTTCTGAGCATTTCTTTGAATATTTTTTTCATGATTTTTTTAATTCCTGTGTCAAGAAAGGCCGCTGCAAATCCTAACTTAGATTTTCTTCTCTTAGATTGCAAAGAGCATGTCACAGAAGATGCAAAAACAGAATCCATCAGTGACACAGCTGACCTGGCTCTGCCACCTGAAATGCCGATTTTAATTGATTTCCATGCTTTAAAAGATATCCTGGGGCCACCCATGTATGAAATGGAGGTAACATCTTTATTTGTTTCTGCTTGACTGCTGTTTCTGTGTGGTTTGACTGGTTGCCTATTTTACTGCTATTGACTGAATTTATACAATATTAACTTTTTAAAAAACGTCCTAGTAACAGGATTGTGTTTCTTTGTGTTCCACCAAGCTTTTTTTTTCACCTAAAGAAGTTTTGGGTTTGTTTTAATTCAGGGTACATAAATAACGTAATGGTATGACTTTTTGTTAGCAAGGGTGCCTGCAGCAGTGCTTAAGAACGTGGTGATGTTTTTTCAGTTTATAATAACTTTGCTTTTGTTTGGGGGTTGTTTGGTCGTCTTGGGTAAGAAGCCAAAAGTAGAACCCAGGAATCCTGTCCCTGAGGCAGCTGTGTTAAGGACTGTCCCACATAGCTCCTTAAAGCCAGTCAGCATTGTTAAGTATTAAAACCACTTCAGTTTGCACCAGAAGTTCTCAGACATTCTTTAGATTAAAGTGCCTCTTAGCTGTTAAAAACATCTTATGATCGGTCAGTCACCTTCAGCTTCCTAGTACCAACTCTATTCCTCAGTAGGCGTATTGCAGAATTTTGTCTTTCGCCCGTCTGTATTTTTGCTACATTCTATGAAAATGCCATCGATCAAAGTAGTTTGTTAGACTGGGATTCTCTTTTCACCATTTACATTGCAGTTATTCTCTGCTTTACTTCAGGTGCAGGTGAACTGACCGAGTGTAAGTAGCATATATAACACTATGACAGGAAACCAGTTGCTGATGGAACGCTAAATTTTTCTGTCTTTATCCTGGAGCAAAGATCTGTAAACCAGTAAGTTCTGGAGAAAATAGAAAAGGGGGAAACTTCCAGAAGAGACAAAATTCTAACTTCTAAGAACTTTCCTGTGATAATTCCTCTCTCGTAGATGAGAGAGAACCAGACTCCAGTGAGATTTGGAGGATAAAAAGGGGACAAGATATGCAGGAGAAAATGAATGACTCAGTTTTTAGACCTGAACTGAGGTCTGTGGATGTGAAGATTTTATCATGGAAGAGATGCTTAATGAAAAACCAGAAATGAGGAAACAAATTGAAAGAAGACAGTGCTACTGGTTGTGTTAGAGGATGATGACAGTAGCAGTGGAAGCTGGGGGGAATGGGAGGCAAGGAAGATCAGGTGATCAAGAGACCTGACTCTCTTGGCTGAGGTTTTTTTCACATTGGTCATTTGACTTCTGATTTACTTCTTTTTACTTTCAGAAATCAGGAGAGATTGCTCTTTAGGCAAATGATTTTATTGTAAGCAACTTACGTCCTTTCTTTTCATCCCTCAGAAGCTGCTGTGCCCAACAATAAAATCACACGAGACTCTTTAAAGCCTTTTTAATTGAGAAGGTAGCGTGGATGTACTTTAGCTTGATTTGGAATGACCAGTCAGCAGACTGTTTGTAATACTCCTATGGAAATTTTTACTAGTCTGTCTTTTCTTTCTCTCACTACCTGACTTTTAGAAACAATTTCTGAAAAATAGCCTGTGGGGTTGTTTTGGTGTTGTTTTTTTTTTCCAAAGAAATCTTTGGAGCTAAAGCGCTGCAGGATCATTTGGCTTTTTAGTGCTTGAATTGCAGAAGCACATAAAGCCATTGTAGTAAATTGAACATAATATTCAAGCCAGTATTCTGATTTCTACAGACGGCATTGATTAGTTTCATAAAGGTGCTAGAAAATAAATTGAATTTTGTGAATTTGTACAAAAGTTCTGGCCACTTGCAACTATACTCCCAGCTCCCAGTCAAGAATAGAGTTCATTCAGATAAATATGAACTTACTACACTTTTTAAAAATTAGATTGTACGCCAAGAAATATGCTAATATATGAGGTTCCTTAGATGTTCTACATAGTTTTGAACTTTTTCTGGAGTTGATTATTCATTTAAATTTGGTAGCGTGGCTGTGTTAACAAATAATTTCTGCTAGTTTGTCCTTTTTCTACATGAGTAAGTAGTGCAAGTTAAATTTTTTTAAAGTGTGCTTCTTAATTCCAAGTATACAAATACGTTAGTGCTGGGTTGGGGTTTTTTTGCATAAACAGTTGCCATGAATAGGCATATAAGGATTTCATGGACCTGCTGGCCTATATAAGCTGCAATAAGACTGACTGAAGCTTTTGACCTGTGTATCAAAGGTTTTTTAAACGTTTCCATATTTAGCAGGCAAATTAAGTAGTGCATAAATAGAACTAGAGATGAATCCACACAGCATCAGTTCCCTGAGCAACTCAGGATTTATTTTCATGTACTATTTGCTGTATTTGTCAATGAGTAAATACTTCTCAGTACACGCTTTATGAATTTTTCGATGTAAATTGCCCAGACAGCCACACAACTCCTGTTTTAATGAATTTTCCCAGCTGACCTTTGAATTTTCTTAAGTACCCCCAAGATTCTTTCAGATGAAGAGCGTAGCTTCTGTCTCAATGGCAGTCATTTCACATTGGCTGCTGGTGGTTTTTTCTGGTTTTGTAGTCTGCAGTCTCTCTCTAGCCTTTAAAGCTTCACCTTTGACCTGCATTTTGCCATTTATAATTAGTTGAAAGAAAGATACAATGGAGGCAGCCACCGTGTCAGTACTTGGTGACACTGAGCAAATAGAACTGAAAACGTGGCATGACTTGATTGATCTGTTGTCCTTCAGGGAATACCTTAAACTAAGTGATCCATCTTTCACCTTTTCAGTGCACGGCTTGTATATTTTCTGCAGAGGTCTTCCAGCAGAAAGCCATGACAGAATACTCAGCTCATACTTGTAGGATTAATTCATTTACCACAAATAAATAATCTTATTCGTCACCCCACAGAACAAATGTTGGAATAAATCACATAGTAAGGCTTTGGAAGAATAATCTTGACAGTAGTTTAAAGTGTAGAAGATTTAATGAAATGTTTCAGCACAGCACGTTTCTGGGGGAAAGGCTTTATAACATATCCAGAGTGTTTATAATGAAGTATTTATCTTTTGACTTGGATTTTAGATTTATTTTTTTTTCCTTCAACCCTTAATTCTGCCCAGTTAACAAAGCACTATTGGCACCACAAGCAAGCCTGTCAGAATTAGTCTGCATCCTCATAACGAGAGTGAAGTTGAAGTGACACGAAAGTGCAGATGCCATAAAAGAGTAGCTCTATTTCATGGGACATACAAAATTCTAACGAAGGAACAAATTAGGTTGTCTTTTATAAGCAAAACCCGTACAAAACACAGGTTTAGATAGGCATTTTTATCTAAGAAATATCAGTCTTGTGATATGTCTGGGAAATCCTCTTCCCTTAAAGGGGAGCTGCAGTTACATATTTCGCCTGCAGTGGTTTGCTAGGGAATGAATCAGAAGAGCAGACAAGAAGAAAGGTTTGTACAGTCAGGTTGGGATAACAAAGATGCTAAAGGCCAGCAAGTAACTTAGGACTGGTTCTCAGCTTCCAGTTACTAATCAGTGACTTAATAGCTTTTTATCAATTGTGCTGACTTACAAAGTAACTCCAAATCTGCAGATTTGCAGATGATGTCTCTTTTCCTTTATATTGGAATAACATTAAATATTTTTAAATAAATGATTGCGTTAAATGTTAATACTTGAATTTTGAGGTGTCCAGGCAGCTAAAATATATCTGACAATACATTCATCTACTCAGATTACAGCTAAATCATAGCTGGGTTAGTCCCATCTACAAAAATTATCAAAAAACCAAGACTGTTTGTTTAGATCAGTGCCTCCTTCTTCTGTCATGTGACATACATGACCAGTCATCAGCTGATTCTAATGGTCAGTTTTAATTGAAATTGTTTAAAAAGTGTAAGTAAAGATTGTTTCCTATTTAAATTCCTCTGAGTTTTTGTGTAAGTAAATTAGTCAGAGGTAGAAGGAGCGATTGAATGTTGTGGAGCTCACTGTAACACTTCATAGGTATGTTTAATGTAATATAACGTACTTCCCCTCTAAGTGTTGTATGGGGTTTTGTGTGTGCATGTGGTGTTAGGGATTTTCAAGGGTCTTGTCTGAAGACAGCTATCAAAGCTGCCAGAGCGTTTTCTATACATGAGCTTGTCAACACGCATCAGTTAACATTCAGGTGAGGAGGTTGCAGTAGTAGTACAGTCTCTAGTAGTACAGCAAGAGAAGTTGCTGGGCTCTGAGGCTGCCAGTTAGTGTGAAGAATGATGGTTGAAAGGTGATTAACACTTACTACACACCTAGTTTCTCTTACCAGATCTCAACTTACTTGCGAAAGTAGGAGGAGGTACCTACCTAGTCTGGGGATAGAGGAAGGAGTTTGTACTGAGGTGAGATAAAAGATGAGTCTCTAGAACTATTTGGGTTTTGATCTTCAATTATGTTGCTGTTTTCTGCCCCTGAGCTCTCAAATGGTGGAATTAGTCTGTAAACTGTTCTGAATTGATGTACAGTTAGAACCAGTGCCAACATCAGTCCAAAAAAAGGAAAACAAAAAAAACCCAAACCAACAAACTTTGTTGATGACCACTTTGGGATGGGTGAGGGTATGGACAGTTACTTTTGTTCCTTATACCTGAAATGTTTGAAACCATGCCAGGCTGCCAAAAGACACGATTGTCTCAAGTGGTATTGAATTTCAGTCTAACCAAGATGAATTGATTTTGTTAACCTGAATTACTAAGCAATTACTAAGCTAATCAGAGTAAGTCACTGTAACTAACAAAATAGAGGGAATGGATATAGAAACTTACATTAACAAAAATGGAAATGCTTGATAAGATGAAGTATTTTGATACCATAAAAGTGAAACACTGTATTTCGTGCAGTTTTCTTAAATGCTAGCAAAAGAAGCAGGCATTCTAGCTAAATTATGCCAGTAATAGCAAATAGCATGATGTCATTCAAAATAAGGAGATAACTGAGAGCCATAAGAGAACAAAGGAGAGGGGCTGTGTGGCTTCCTTTGCTTTACTGTCAGATAAGTAGAGTTAGTAACTGACCTGGTTGTCAGCTCGATCCAGGCTGATCCGTAGCACCAGACCCACTGGCCTCTGCTGCTTGTCCCTCCCCACAGCTGGAGTCTTGCTTGCGCCAGGAGCTCCTGTATCAGCATAGCTCTGCTATACTCAGACTTGGGCTAATTTCCCTCAAACCAAGAAACGGTGATCCTGAGCAAGGGTCACATTTGAAAACTTAGTCATCAAACTTAGAAGACAGTGCTCGATAGTTTAGTATAGCGTTTGGCAAAGCATATAATTCAAAATCAGAAATTCTAACAAGAAGCACGTATGTTTCATTTCGCTTTGTAGGACTTCAAGTGCTTTTTTTTTTTTTTGCTTCACCAATTCTCTTGCATGAGCAAATTGTTCCTGTCATGTATCTGAGTTGCGTACAGCTACAAGTAGCACAACTTGTATGTTTGTAAATGAGCTCTTTTTTTTCAAACGTGCATCTCTTTTTGGCCAGTAACCAGAGGTACCAGCTGTAGAGTGAATAGTTGTTCACTCTTACTGCATAAAGGGAGTTGTTTTCTATTTGTGAAGGAAGAAGGAGAAAACTGAGCACTAATAATTTTACAGTCTTGATTTTGATTCTTTTATGATGGGGATGGATTTCAGCCTAATGCTGAAATGTTAATGTTTGGCTCCTATTTAGAAGGAGAGTTCTTGTTCTGGTAATCCCATGGAAGGCTATATTGTTCTGCTGCTTGACTTCTAGAGCTTTAGGGCCGTGTACTACTTGGGGACTTGCAGCAGCATTTCTCGTGGACTTTCAGAGGGCATTTTAGTAAGGGACTAGAATACGTAATAACTTACTATCTTTGGAGCGCACAAGTGGAAGTGTTCCTAATACAGCCAGCTCACAGCAGGGCCGTACACATGTTTCTGTCTCCAGACCTAAGGTGCACGGCTATACAGATGTGTCTGATCTTGCAGCTGGGCTGATGGTTAAAAGCAAGTCAACTTTGTGTATACAAAGCTTTGCCTTTTCAGTGTCTATACAAAGTCTGATTGGTTTACTTCACTGCTGACTCTTAGAAGGAAGCAAAATGAAAGCATTAAGATTAAGGCGAGTTGTGCAGAGCAGAATGAGTTGGTGCTAGAAGAAAAAAACCCGCTATGTTGATCTGGAATTGCAAGTAGTAAAATGGAATGTTAAATGTGCTTAGAAGTGACACGTAGCTAGAAATGCAGATTTCGGAATTTGAATTCTTTCACTATGGTTCTGTTGTGAGGCTCCTTTGACTTGTTTTCTATCCAAGAAATGAAACATTTCTTTAAATTCTCTAAACAGTTTAATGAAGAATTCATCCCTTTCAGGAATGAATCGAATTAACTTTCAATTCTGCATTTCAGTAATTATTTTAAAAGGGGCCTATCGCTTTATTTTACAAGGGAGTATTTGTCTTTTGCTCTAGGTGCTGCCTGACACAGTAAAAATTCGTCCATTTTCTTTTCTGCCTTGTAATAAATATATAATTTAGTAGTTCAGAATGTGCTGATTAGCTGTATGATCTCTCATCGGGGTTTCTTCAACTCCTTGAAGCTCAGGAAAACAAAAGGACTTTCTGTATATTCTAAAAGAATCTCTCAGACAAAGGGGGATGGGGGGTGGGATCAAAACCTGGAACTTTCATGGAAAACATCCTGCCTCTCTTTCCTTCTCTTAACACAGGAGATTGGGGTTCAGAGACCTCCATTCCTCTCATCAGTAACGGGCCACAGGCAGACTTTAGTTCAGGCAATGAAACCACCTTTAAAAGGCTTTTAGGTAACACTCAGGAGCAAAACTGGCTTTTTCATAATAGTAACCAAGTCAGGGCAAATACACCTCTAGCAGATGGATTAAGTCATACAAGCATTCAGTCAGGATTGACTAAATACCTGAAGTCCTTTGAAGTGAAGAGAAAGATTCTCATTGAACTTTTGGGGGTGGGGAAGGTTTCAAGAATGAAATACCCAGATGTTTGCCATTGCCTTAAGCTAAGCAGCCACATACAGCTCCTATTCTGTAATCAACGTTTACACATCATGCAGAATTATGGCTGCATTAAAAAAAAAGAGAGACACTTGGGCTTAACTTTTGTATTTTAATGGGTACAGTTGTTTTGAAGACGACTATCAAATTGCTTTTGCGACAGTGTTACTACAACTATTTCCTAAACTGTTTCCTGTGTTCTTTTTCTTCAGGTGTCTGAACGCTTAAGTCAGCCAGGAGTAGCCATAGGCCTGGCTTGGACGCCCTTAGGGGGAGAGATCATGTTCGTAGAAGCTAGTCGCATGGATGGAGAAGGTCAGCTTACTTTGACTGGTCAGCTCGGAGATGTTATGAAGGAGTCGGCGCATCTTGCAATTAGCTGGTTGCGCAGCAATGCAAAGAGATACCAGCTAACCAACGGTAGGTTGGGGAAAAAATGACAAACAATGCATCGCTGTATTGCATCGTAGAGATTGTATGCATCCATTGGCCTTTTACTGCTGGCATGCACAGAAAGGAAGCATTAATACTGCGTGGAAATTAAACGTTCTAAAACTTGATATTTTTCAATAATTCAGCAGGTTGTAACATTGCTGAGTAACAGTGGAAGTTACACTCATTGTGGAATGCAGTAAGTGTTGCCTTAAGAGAAAGGGCTTTCCAGTAATCAATCAGTGCTACACTGACGATCACATCAGCACTAGAGTTGCTTTTTGTAGTTCTTTCCCTGGTCTCTGCCAGGCGGAGGTTGTTGGTGGCCTGGCAAACGGGTCACTGCAGGCGGAACCCCAGTTGTCACTGCAGATTCCCCTGCCCTGGCCAGTCCCTCCCTGCAGCAGCCTGGCAGGCTGCGGGCAGCCTCTGTGCCAGGGTGCCGCTGCTTAGTCGTGGCAGACGCTGCCTCTTCCTTGGTTTTACATTCAAGCTTTCCAGCAGTACTTTGGGGATGTGGATACAGCTACGCAAGTCTGTAGTTTTCCTCTAGTGTTAAGACACAGTTTCTGTTAAATGGACGTTTGGTAGTCTAATTTTTAATATTTTGAGAATTAGTTGGGTTTTTAAGGCAGCCGTTGAACTGCAGTCCAATAGGACTTCAGCCAAGAAACTTTTAACTCTTGCTTTTTGTTTGAACCTCCCCAGAGTTCTGGAAATGTGCTTTCCAGTTTGATCATCTGCTGAATAGTCAAATAATTGTCTGGTATCTGTCATTATTTATGGTAATTTAGATAGGTTAAAAACCCTCAATTGAATCAATGTATGAAATGCTGCTGGCATTAACTGCATGCACGTTTAATACCTAGTTTTACCTTTCGTGTCCTACAGGTTAAATAAGGTGCAAAGATGTAAATGGGAGATTTACTTTATAATACTGGTTAATACTGGGTTTCTGCAGAATGCTGGTTTTGTGGTATGCTCTTTGAAAAGTGACATTTATGGTTTGGGACATTAAAAAAACCCCTAAAAACTCTGTGTAGAAATTCCTTGGTTTCTACATTCATCCCTACTCTGAATTTCCCAACACATGCAAATGGGGAGCTTATTGGTTAACTTGTTACGGTTTTGCCTAGGAACCTGGATGTAGGAAAGCGTGTTGGGTTTTCTTTTTCTTTGTTTTTCTAGGGCCTCTGCAACAGTGTTGTTTTTTCAGCCTACTGTTGAAAAATAGCGCAAAGACTTTTAGTTCTCTGGTGGGCTTTTAGAATAAAGACCAGGAACAAAATGGGGTTAGATTTTTCACATTCAAACCATTCTTTTTTTCCCCTTAAGCTTCTGGAAGTTTTGATCTCCTTGACAACACTGACATCCATCTGCACTTCCCAGCTGGAGCTGTCACAAAAGATGGACCATCTGCTGGTGTTACCATAGTAACCTGTCTTGCTTCACTCTTCAGTGGGCGGCTGGTGTGTTCAGATGTAGCCATGACAGGAGAAATTACACTAAGAGGCCTTGTTCTTCCAGTAAGCATCATTTGAGAAAAGAGCTAAGTTGTATTAATTCGCTATATTCTGGATATAAAATCTGTTTATAGCCGTTTACAAAAGCACGGTCTTGCTGGATCATTCCTTAGCAGCGAGCCAGTCTCTTCTGCTGCAGTTGGAAGAGGCTGGGGGACACCAGCCTGCTGTAGCGCTCTACCGCTCCCTCTGCTTTGCATTTAATAAGAACATTAGCAGGGAAACACCGGTTGCAGGGAAAGCACATTAAAATGTCTCGTTAGAAAGGAAACCTAGACGTCTTAAAATTCAAGATGGTTCCAAAAACTGACTGCAATTTCTGAACGTGCTTCCTCAAACTATTATTACAGAAGTAGCCCCAGTTTCTTTGAAAAGGTGTTTCTTAAAGCTCTGATGGTAATTGCATTAGGTTACTCTTGAAGCCATCTCTAGACATGTGTTTTTAGATTCTTCATAAACGTTGTTCCTTGTATATAGTTCAGCTGAACAGTGTTCCCATGAAGCTTCTTCAAAGCATGAGGGCAAAGGGAAGTTTTCAAACAAATACAGTTTTAGTTTTAGGTGTCAAACGGAGCCTGGCATAAGTGATTAAGCAGGCATGCGAGTTTTATCATCTCGTGCCAAACGATGGACAAAGGAAGGATGAAGCTGGAAAACAGTATTTTGTTTCGTGCAGCAGAAGATAACAGGATAAGGTAGCAGACTAGAAGGCCCTCAGGAACAGCATTCTGGTGGCAGACTGACAAGATTGCCTGTTGTTCAGGGCTCTAGTGAAAAAATAAACACTGCATTAACTGTGATCTGGTGCGAGTTTGCATAGCTTTCCAAGTAAGTTGCCTTTGTTGCACCAGTGACCAAATTTTGCCTGTTGTTCAAGGGGGGTGTAAAACTTCAGTATCTGTAAATAGTAAAGCAGGTTGGCCGCCTTCTGAACGGTGTCCACCCCTACTGTTGTTAGTAACTTCATTCACGTGAATATGCCATTAAGGGCATCTGCTGGCTGAAGCCAAGCCACGTGCTACGTAGCGTTGTCCAGACAGCGATCACCGTGAGGACTCGCTGTTCACTACCCCAGCAGCCTGTTTTGCTCTCTGTGCTGTACTACAAGGCTTTCCTTTCCTCTACAGCATTGCAAAATTACAAGTTTCTTCTGTGAGATGGTCTTTAAACAGTGTTAGACAAGAGTTCAAGGGGAAGAAGCTACAGCTGGGACAAAGAAAAACTGATTTAAACCCCCTTTTGACATCTCATTGCAAGCTCCAGCAGGTGGCTATCGAAGGGGTGCCTGTTTTTGTAGCACAAAGGCCCCTTTGCCGGTTTGGAGTACAGGTTTGCTTTTCTGTGCTTTTTCTGTTGTACAACTCCCCCTAAACATAAAGCTGCCATTACCTTGAAAATCTGCTGTAATATAGGAGCAGGATTTCAGCATGCCGTATGAAAAAACGGAGTCGAGGCCATCTTTCTTGGAAAAAAAAGTCCTGAAAAGTAATGACTTTTCCACTATTGATATCCTTGTACCTGCAATAAAACATTAATTTATAATGTTTTAATTTTTTCCTCATGTTATAACTGTTACAGAAAAGGTACTGTAGCATATTAACATATTTCCCTCGTTAAGTATATAATGAGCTAAAACTACTGCTGCATTTTTAATTGCTTTCCTAAATGACTGGGGGAGGGAGAACCTTTCATTAAAATTTAACTCCTGATCTGATTTGTTACAATAATTGCTTTATCAGATTAGTGTCATGGATTTCTTACATCTATTTCTTCTCCTTATTAGGTTGGGGGAATTAAAGACAAAGTCCTGGCGGCACACCGAGCTGGACTGAAGAGAATTATCATTCCTCAACGCAATGAAAAAGATCTGGAAGAAATTGCTGTGAACGTACGGCAAGATTTGACGTTTGTTATGGCAAGCTGTCTGGATGAAGTTCTTAATGCAGCTTTTGATGGAGGATTTGCAGTTAAACCCAGAGTTGAGCGTTTGAATAGTAAACTGTGAGCAGACAGGCCAAGGTGATGTCCGTGTCAAATTTAATAGAGATCAGTAACTATCAGCTATATACATATCAAGTATAACTATGAGCTAAACTTGATTGTTTCAATGTGGGTGTAAACGCAATCAAAATAAAAATATTACTTCAGCAGTTAACACCCTGAAACCCCATTTTATGGGCATTTGCTGCTTTTTACTACTATCAGCAAAGATTCTTGAAAAAAATACTCATTGCCTGATAGATTCAAGCATGAGAAAGCTGAAGCTGTTGAGAAACAATTCCTTAGCTTATCTGGCATATATGTATGTAAATGTCAGCAGCTGATTACATCTTTAAAGAGGACACACCCACAAACAGGGAATAATACGCAATTCTGTGACCTATATTCAGAGAACGCAAATTGCAGCAAACACAGCAAGTCTAATAGATGGGGTTGTTACCGAAAAGCAAACTGATTTAGCGCAAGAGTCTACTTATTTAAGAAAAAATATACTAAGGAGCAGTAGCATCACAGGAAAAATAAGGTTTTTGAAATCTAAAAAATATGCTTAAGGGATTTGAACACAGAAGCGATACGGTCTAAATTAAGTTAGTAGGTCCTTTCAGCACTCGCTGCTAGTTTGCAGCAAGGTCAACGCAGACGTCATTTTTCAAACCTACATACAGGAAGCAACTCAAGAAGAACTGACACATACCAATTCTTGCGTTGGGAGGGAGTAATGCACTAAAGATTGCATATGCACAGTTGTACTTACAGCAACTTGAAGACTTTATGAAAAAGCCTGGTAACATTTTGAAGGGACAGAGTACACATCCTTCATTCTTACCGGACACAAACCATCTTGAGTCTGGGATGCCTATGTTCAGAGTTTAGCCTATAAAATTAAATCCATTTAAACAATGCCAACAAAATACTGGATCATTAAGTTGCATTAGGTACTGCAAATAATTTAAGGTTTAGAAAGTCTGCCAGTATCCCATCTCAGTTGATTGCTTTGTCTCTTATCTTCCCTTGAATATTAATTTAAATTTCTATTAAATAGAAATTTAAAACTTATGTAATGTAAGATCTGTGAGCTTTCCGTTATTGTATACTAGGGTCAACCACAACAGAAAACCCAGTATGTTACATTCTCTTCTTGCTTATTAGTTCTGAAACAAACCCAAGTGCGCTTATGAAATGCAAACTGAATCAGTGACAAAAGCCTGTTGTAGAAGCAGACTATAAATCAAAAGTAATAGTTGCTTTCATTTCTATAGATAGAAAGCTGATTTACCTGGAACATAATAGCGCTGATAGTAATAAATTCAGTGGGTATTTCTGCACCTGATTTACAAAAGATTTCTTCATCTAATAAAAGGATAAAAATAAAACCCTCTCTTGTTTCACTATTTAAAGAATTCTACTCTTAGTCATTCACTAGCTGAGTTCCAAGGGCAAGAGGCAATAAACAGAGCATCTCCGAATGCTTTCTGCCTTACAAAATGCTTGAACACAAAAAATGTGAAGGAAGTAGACAATCTGTAAAACACCAGAAAGGTACGATAACTCATGTCCTGCTTTGCTTTTAATCAAAACCGGGGGGGGTGGGGGGGGGGAGGAATTCTTTACCAAACTTAATGCAGACCAAATAACAATCCTGCACTACTTTGCACTAGTGAGAAAACAAACGTGCATGGAATTCCAGGGCAGTCTGTTTATACACGTACAAAAAACCTGCATTTTTTTGAAAGATGGTAACTACTGTTAAAAATAAAAAAAAAAGGTTCCATGACGATTTCACTACAGAAGAACAGGGAGTTGCTCTCAAGAAAAGTTAAGCAATGACTTTGTCTGCCACACCACTCCAACTCGCAGGCCTCGTCCCCACAGACTCTATCTGAAAGGTGAGGGCTTTAATGCACCTCTGAAGATATTAATAGGCATTTACTTACTTACAGCTTTTCATGTTCCTGCTTGCAGAGCTGTCTCGGTCATGCTACTTTGTTGAGATTTTTAAAATAAAACTGACGCATTACCCATTATCCCAGATAGCTATAGGTAGACACACTTCAGTGCCTTTTCTTTTGCTTTCACTGAAGGCTGTAAGAAGAATAACACTCTGGGCAGCAGCGAGCTAGAACAGCAAAGAACTTTTAAAGTCATTTCAATACACTAGGGATCATTCTGCTTTGCAACTGACAGTTAAACGGACCCGATATGAAAGGCGTCCCTCAGAATATACTATAAGATAAGTAAGCTTATCATAGGTAAAAAAAGTGGTAGCTCCTTTCCTCTATCCACGCTATAAATTGCTACAGATAATCACTGTCCCACTAGCGCAAGTCATGCTTTAATCACAGGCACTTTGAAAAGATACTGGAAGTACAGCAGTATAGGTAGCAATACAAAACAGTTCACCTGCTTGAATTTTAAAGCACCACTGCAAACAAGAACTAGCAAGAAATGTCAGAACAGAACCCAAATATTAACGTCTGCATTTGTCAGACATTTTCCTCTTACAGCTTTTTTTTTTTTTAAAGGTCAACCAAAAAGACAACGGAGGTAGTACTAGTGGACAAATGCAAGATCTACTGCATTTAAT